TTGGCCCTTAGGAAACTCTTGTTTTCCAGAAAAGAAAAAAAAAACACTCTGCGACCGTTTGTAAAAGACCAATTTCTCCCGGTAAAAAATACACGAGAATTAAACAACAAGCTAACGTGGCGCATTCAAAAATAGCCTGGTTTTACAAACGAAGCAGATATTGTCGCCGATTTTTTTCTGCTTGCAACCAAAAAAACCAAGTCTCCGCAGAAATTTCGTTAATCTCGATTTTCTCCATATTTAAGATTGGTAGAATCGTTCCTGTAAATGTAGACATGGACGTGGATATGGACGTGGATTTAGAAGTACCAGATGCTTGTAAATACTTAGCGAATGTACAGTACTGTTGTTTCGATGTAAGAAAAAGGGGAACAGTGGTACCTGAAAGACTGTGACAAGTGCCCAGACGATGTCGTTGAAATGTTTGCGATCACAGCGACACATTGGGTGCCGCGAGACCACCTCAGCACAGGTGCAGGGCCGACTCCGATCCGCCCACATGCAAAACTTACCCCCGAACAGGTACATCCCTAGGATGCTGCAACCGAGACAATCCGCTGGCCTAAAGTATCACCGTTATGAACGATGAACAAAAAGGAGCTGGGAATCGGGGATACCGATACCACTCGCCGTCAAATGTCTCCACTCGTTTTGTTTTTCTTTATTATCTTTTCTTTCTTTTCCATTTTCTTTTTTGGCTTTGCTTACGGATTACAAACTTTCACAATGAATACTCAACGATCCACGTAAGTTCGTCAATTTTTTTCTCGAGCAATTGTATCAGTTTAATTCAACTTGATGCATTATTATTGCGTGCAATTAGCGCAGAAGTGGTTTTTACAACCGTGTAAATGCAAACAGCGTTGAATATGTACAACGAAGAAGATTACTATGATTCAAATGTAAAGCTACGGTAAAAATACGTAAATCTCTTAAGCGGTGCTTTGAATGTCAGTTCGAATATGGCTATGAATACTTTAAGCGGTAATTTCTAGACGGAATTGCAGTTTGCATTCATCACCATGTAAATTAGCGGTTCATCGTCGTGACAAATTATCTTGGTGTTGAATAGGAATGAAATCATAGTTGAGAATGTTTTATTATCGTCAGATCGTCTATTTGGTAATCGAAATTTTCAACTGCTTCTGTATTAAATTAATGGTACAACTGGACGAGTTTGTTAATGTGAGTTTAGTTCAAACAAGTATTATCAAAAAGTTATTTTCTTTTTTTTAATAAAAGTGGAGTTTTTTTTATATAATCATTGTGAACGTTTCGTGACAAAAATTTGCACGAAAATATTTCGTTACAAAGACATATCGAATAAACTGAATTCCTGATAATTTTATGCCATAAAACTTTCATCGTGTCGATTATGTGACACAGAATATGTTACTTAATTTGTAAGTAACAATAATATGTTTGTATTCGATACAAATAATGTCCCTTTGAATTATAGTAAATTACTCCATTGACCCAATTTCCCCTGAAAATAACATTTCAACTTGATTCATTGAAATAATTTCAGTCGTACATTTAACCCCCTAATTAATATTATTTTTTATCTACTATTATCGTTCTACATCTTATGAAAAAATACGAATGAATTATTCCAAATACTAAATTCGCTTTTATCTTCGTCAATTTGACCAAATCTCGATTGACAATTTAATATCAAGCGTTAAATACACATTTTATCGTCCAGTTTAGGTTTCTGGTAATTTTGTGGAAATGTCTGGTAATATTGTGGTAATTTCTGGTAACTTTGTGAAAATTTCTGAAAAAATTCGAATAACACCGGTAAATATATCTCAACACTTTTTCTCCTATAAAACATTATCGATAACGCAACAAATACTATCGATATTAATTAAAATTAATTAACAACCTACTTCCTGTCGTTTCTCATTTACGTCAATTTCAAACTGGGCTAAAATCTGAAAAATCAAACCACACACGACCAGAGTATAATTTTATACTTTCTAACGCAACACAGTCGAATTGAACTGATAACAATTCTCGATTGAAAATCACGATCGACTCGTAGGTGAACGGAGACACTTCACAGGTGTAGCGTTTAAGCAGGTATATCGGGTGAACAGCGAAGAAACTGTCACTCGAAGCTTGTACAGTCACATTCTGCAAGATCGACGGTGTTTGTCCACTTAATACAAATATTATATATATATATATATATATATATGTCCTATATTCAGAGAAAAAAAATATATGCGAGCGTGTATCATATGTAACCTGTATAACGTTGTTATCAAGCGAATATTACACAAGCTGCGTGTATTAAACTGTAAGAAAACGAAACGTACGGCGATAATTAATAAAATTGCAGAAAAAGAACTGCCATTGAATTCTTATCATCGAATCATCGAAAGTGAGTAATCTACTGTAATTCGTGTGATCGTATATCCGGTGAATGAAATTACTTAAATTGGAAAATACTATTCATACTTTTCGATACGTCACTCATTTCTTTTTCTTTTCTGCGGATAAACAGTACAATAATTTGTATTTTTTTTTTTTCTCGACGGATAAATAGTACAATTGAAAAGTTCAGAAGGAACATATGCAATACAAGAGTGGGCTTTACACGTTTCATTTTACGCCCGTTTCGATCAAACGAAAGGTATTACGAAAAAGAATGTACCTGTCGTTGCAGAATGTCACGGTTAACGATCATTTGGACGAAAAAATTGAAAACAAGGAAACCAGGTAAAAAAGAAAACGATAAGAACGAAAAAGTAAAAA